ACCCCACATCTTTAAAATAAAATTTATATTTCTCTCTCCCTTTTTTTTTTTGAGTTGGAGTCTCCATCACCCAGGCTGGAGTGCACTGGCACACTCATGGCCACCCTGGCATCGACCTGCTGGGCTTTGGCGATCCTTCCACCTCAACCTTCCAAGTAGCTGGAACTACAGGCGTGCACTACCACGCCCGGCTAATTTTTGATTTATTGTAGAGACGAGGTCTCACCAAGTTGCCCAGGCGGGTCTCGAACCCGCGGGCTCAGGCAATCCACTCGCCTCGGCCTCCCAAAGTGCTAGGATGACAGGCTTGAGCCACCGTGCCCGGCTGATAAAATATATATATATATATATATATTTTTTTTTTATTTTTTTATTTTTTTTATTTTTTTTTTTTTTTTGAGTTGGAGTCTCACTCTGTCACCCAGACTGGAGTTCAGTGGCCGCTCCCGGCCACCGCAGCCTCGACCTGCTGGGCTCCGGCGATCCTTCCGCCTCAGCCTTCCGGGTAGCCGGAATTATAGGCGCGCGCTACCACACCTGGCTAATATTTTGATTTATTGTAGAGATGAGGTCTCACTGCCCAGGCGGGTCTCGAACCCACGGGCTCAAGCAATCCACTCACCTCAGCCTCCCAGAGGCACGGGATTACAGGCTGAGCCACCGAGCCCGGCTTGTTTTTTTCTTTTCAGCAAGTTTGAGTTCCTTTTAGATCCTAGCTGTTAAAGACATACTGTTGGCAAATATTTTTTCCCAGTCTGTGGGCTGTCTCCCACTCTCTCAATGGTTTCTTTGACTTTGCAGAAGCTTGTCAGTTTGATAAGGTCCCACTTGTCTATCTTATGGCATGGGCACTTTTGAGTTTTGATCGGGAATTGTTTGCCAGTTCCAATTTCCATAAGGGTGCCTCCTGCATTTCCTTTTTCTTTTTCTTTTTTTTTTTGAGTTGGAGTCTCCCTCTGTCGCCCAGACTGGAGTGCAATGGCCGCTCCCGGCCACCGCAGCCTCGACCTGCTGGGCTCCGGCGATCCTTCCGCCTCAGCCTTCCAAGTAGCCGGAATTACAGGCATGCGCTACCATGCCCGGTTGATTTTTTTTTTAATTTATTTATTGTAGAGATGAGGTCTCGCTGCCCAGGCGGGTCTCGAACCCGCGGGCTCAGGCAATCCACTCACCTCAGCCTCCCAAAGGCGCGGGATTACAGGCTGAGCCACCGAGCCCGGCTAAAATATATTTTTTTAAAAAGAAGAAATTGCTGGCCGGGCTCAGTGGCTCAGCCTGTCATCCCAGTGCTTTGGGAGCCGAGGCGAACGGATTGCCTGAGCCCGTGGGTTCGAGACCCATCTGGGCAACTTGGCAAGATCTTGTCTCGACAATAAATAAAAAATTAGCCAGGCGTGGTAGCATGCACCTGTAGTTCCGGCTTCTTGGAAGGCTGAGGCGGAAGGATCGCCAGAGCCCAGCAGGTCGAGGCTGTGGTGGCCGGGAGTGGCCACTGCGCTCCAGTCTGGGCGACAGAGTGAGACTCCGACTCAAAAAAAGAGGAAGGAATTGCTAAATGGCTCTCATTCCTGTAAAGGTTTTGATTTCCTCTTCCATCTCTTCTCCGAGTGATAGTCCTGAGCCTCAGTTTCCCCGTCTGCAAAACGAAGGTCGCCAGAGCCTGCCCTCTGGGAGTTCCCAAGGGGAGCATAAACAAAGTGTTCGGTGCCTGGTGTGTCAGGATCACTCCTTCCAGGACCCCAGTGTCGGCGTGGAGACCGTCAGCGTCGCCTGCCCTCTGCCAGCGATCGGGCGCTCAGTGGCGGGCAGGGGATGGGCGGCACCGCTGCTTTCCATGCCTCCTGGTCCAGGCCCCTCGGAGTGGCACCGGCCACCGCCTCCCTGGGCTCCCTGGCCCTTTGACTCACTGGGTGCCCCCTGCTCCAGCCCCCACACCCCGGCCCTGCCTCTCCCCTCCGTTCACCAGTGCCAGCCACTCTGCTCCCTCATGGGTCCCTCAGTTCCTGTTTGGGGACACTGTCTGGACAGCAGCCACGGGGTCTCCGTGGCCAGGGGCTTCAGCTCCAGCCACCACTCTGACAGGCGCCCTCGCTGGTGCTGAGGTCGTTGACCGTCTGGGCCAGCCACGCCCTGCCAGACCCCAGGAGAAGCCGGTCTGTCTCAATCACACCCTTCCTGGGAGCAGCACGTGGGGCCTGGGAGGAGCTTAGGACAACTCTCATGAGACAGACAAGACGTGGACATGGGGCTGGAGCCACCACACCGGACCGGACCCCTCGGACCGGCCCCTCGGCAGCCTCCTCAAGGCACGAGGCCAGAGACTGAGGTGCCGTCTCAGAGGCAGGGCAGCGACTACAGGGCACACAGGCGTGGGGGTGGCACCCCGGGCCAGTCCAGGAAGGCTCCGTGGAGGCGGCAGGCCCAGGGCTGCCCTGGCCGGAGCCCCAGGCGGAAGGTTTGCAAGCAAGCACGGGCCCACAGGAAGTGCCAGACACACATCTCTGGGGGCTCCAGCCTGACCTGTCCACCCCACAGGGGCTGCACCCGTGCATACCCCCCGCCCCCAGGTCCTGCGGGCTGCGTACCAAGGCCAGCCTACTTAACTGCGAGTGCACTCCGGAATTTTGTTTTCGCATATCATTTTGCTTCCGACGTCGTCACGGCTGTCTCCCGCTCGCGACCCGACCCCTCCACTGCGCAGGCTTCTGGCCCCTGGAGGTTTCCTGCGCCCCCCGCCCCACCCCACACACACACCTCGCAGTTCCGCCCACCCTGCCCACGCCCGGCCTGCCTTCTCAGTGTGTGCCCCCCAAATCCATCCCTAGACGTGCTCCCCTGCCCCCACTCTGAGCCCCCTGAAGGCACCCCGCCCCCCCTGCTCTCGACCTCCACTCCTCTTGGGAGGTGACTACCATCCGGGCAACTAAGAGTGTCGCTCACTCACCCCCCGAGGCTCTCAGGTTCCGGGCTCTCAGCCCAGTCCTGCACCAAAGTCACTTGGGGGGGCGGGCAGACCCAGATTCCAGGCCGGGCACACAGACCGCCTCCTCCAAGAAGCCACCGTCAAGCCCTCCTCCTAGGCCCCTGTCCCATGCACTGGCTCCAGGGAGAGGGGACCTGGGGGTGGTCCCAGGGGTCCAGGGGTCTGAGGTGGGGGCTGGAGCCGGGGAGTGGCATCCCTCTGGCCCTGCAGTTGGAGAAAGCCTATCCCAGGCTTCCCGGGACCTCCGCCGTGTCACAGGGGGGACGTCACAGGTCTGGGGAACCCTCAGTGTCTCTGGCAAGGGGACGGGAGACGATGGGCAGAAGCAACCCTGGGGACCCCGCAGGCGGCCGGGCACCCCGTTCCCACCAGGACTCCAGCCCTCCGTCCTGCTGGCCCTGGCCCGCCACCCACCGCCCCTTCAAGCCCTTCGGCCCGATCACAGCTGACCTCCCAGGCTGGCTCCCGTGCCGCGCGGGTCCGGCCTCCGCAGGGCCCCAGGTGGGCGCCGGTGGACCCGACGCAGGGCGGGCCCCAGGCCCGTGCCAGGCACATGCCTCCAGGCCCGCGCTGCGCCGCACAAACTTGTCTCCCGGGATTTTTCCACACGAAACGCGTCTCCCATGGAAGCAACCGGTTGGATGAGCTGGGCGTTCCCACCCCGCCCTCTGGGCCCTCAGGTCTGTCCCGTACCTCCCGGGCGGGATGGAGTCCAGGACTCCGCGGCCAGCAGCAGCGGTCCC